TGTATTAAGTAGGATGAAGACAGTTTGGTTTTGTTTTTCCATTCGTGGGTCCATTTTTTTATGAATGGGCTTATAATCCATAAGGCATAGTCAGAATTGATGGGCCATCCGGCCCATGCTGTCATCTTCTAGCTAGCTGTAGCAATTAGCACACTGTGCTTTTATTAAATTCCCCTATTAATCTTTGTCCACTTCAATCAATTCATACCTCTGTGACTCTGTCTCTAATTTATTTTTTGAATCACTGTTTTTCATCGTAATAAGCTATAATTGTTGAATTATGCTCTTTGTGTACATGAAGTTTGACACTCCTTCACAAATTAAAAAATGGAGTGGCGGGAAAGTGTGTTGTATTTTTAAACTGGCCAATCGTGCTACAACATGTGGCACAATGTCAAAATTAATGTAAAAAATAATGTACTTGTAGCATGATTGATGATTGTTAGAGGTATCAGGTAATTTAGTTCGTATATTTCAAAAACCAGAATCCCTCATTAATATTTGGGTACTTCGTAAATTGAATAATTGGTTCTATGTAATTCTTGGAATCGAATAGAGACCGATGATTCCGAGTAAAATGTTTAATTGGGCAAAATATAATTTGAAAAATATAATTCCGAGTAAGGTTAACGCAATCATACTTGATTTGAAAAAGCTTTTATTATAATTTAATTGGGCAAAATATACTTTTTATCTATACATTTTTTGAGACCTACAATTTATTGTTCAGTTATTATTCACATATTCCATAGTCCTCACCACTTATAAGCAATTAAAAGCATTGCCAAACAAGCACTTATTCTTCCCAAAATTTAGGCATGAATATTATTCTATTTGAATAATACTATTTGTAGTCACTCACTATCGTAGTCGCTCTATGTAGCATACATGTGACTGTCAGTGATTTGATATATTACGATAATGAGTAACTGCAAATAACATTATTTTATTTTATTTGGTGTATAGAAAATCAGATTCGACTTGTAAGAAATGTATCATTCATTGCATGCAAGTGGCCGGTTTGATAAATTGAACCCATCTCAAACTCTTCCAATCATTTAATGAAATATTAGAACAAACTAAATATTCAAGTTCAACTCTCGTTGATATCGATTTATCGATAATTATCATGTGTCAAGCTTTTCAATAAAATAATTAAAATATTTTCTTATTGGACTTGTTTTTTCGCACAATATTTAGGGTTTGTTTGTGATAGATTCTTTTAAAATTATATTTTTTTAAAAAAACTCAATCACATTGCACTTGAACCGAAATTGATAAACATAAAGTTATTCATAGATTACATGATTTATTTTATAAAGTTACCTATTTAAATTATTTTATAATTAAATTTTAATCTCGGCCAAACGTGCACGTAATCTTCTACAGGATTGGGCCACGTGCAGTTCAACAAGTCATGCTGGTGTTTTCGCAGACATGATGGGTTAAGTCCATTGGAGGTAAGACAGTAAGTGGGCCTTGGTCCAATTATATATATAACAATGATTATTCATTTATGGTAAAAAAAATTCTAATATATGACGGATATTTCCATAATTTGGCACTGATTATTTTTGTTTTGATTCGAGTTGACAGATCATAGTAGCCATGCAAAAGTGTTTGGGCCAACTGGTCTAAGTAATTAAATCTTAAGGGGATTTCGATTCAATTTGATTCTCAAGTTTCAAGTAAAGTTCAGATTTTTAATTGAATTGTTTGAATTAAAGTTGATAGATTATAATATTATCTAAGTAATTGCGTTCTATAGAAAGTCCATAAATATTGACAATTTTTTCAATACAACTTTCAAGGTGGATTCTTTGGGTTAGAGGATAGCGATGGCTTGAGTCAAGAGTCGAATAAAGCATACATGAATTTATTCGAGGAAGTACCTTGTGATCAAGATAAAGTAGGCATGCCCCCATCAACTTTGAAATAACTTGATTGAGGGACCATGGAGTGTGTCAATCTCCTACTCCAACTCCAAGGAATCTTCCAAGTAAGATTCCCAATTAACTAAGTTTGAAGAACTGTTAAAAAGGTGTCAAAATCTATGGACCGTTCAAGTCCACAATGTGGTATCATACAACCCTAAAAAGATCTTGATCGCATGACACAACATGTCGCCAATAATTTAAATTCATAAGGGTAGTATACTAAAACGTCAACTATGAGTGGAATAAAAAATGTAAGGAACCCCTTGGGGAGTGGCTGAGTTGGTAGAGCAGGTGAATGCGGAGATCAAATGTCATGAGTTCGAATCCCCTTGGTCGAACCTACTGCACATGAAACGAAATTTACCTAGTGTGCACTCATAGTGGTCAAGCCTCCGCCCCTTTGGGGTGTTGGGCTTCTCCGACGGGTAGCGGCTGCAGGTTCCTACGTCAAAAAAAAAAAAAAAAAAATGTAACGAACACCAATGAAGTAGCTAAGTGTTATGAAGAACGCTAAAAAATATAAGAAGTTAGAGATAAGTTGATTTGTCGACCTCAAACTAGTTTTTATTTTAGTTGAATAAATGTATAAGTGAATATTAGTAATTATAGTTATAAAAGAAAAATGATCGAATTATCAATCCTCTTGAAACAGTAAATTCTAATAAAAGAGCATCCAAATCCCAAAAAAAAAATCTATCTAGTTGAGAATTGGTGTCCCAATTTAGTTGTTCTGACTAATCTTGGCATATTAGCTCTTGTTAGTTAAGAGTAATGCTATTCATAATTAGTTATTGTAATAATAATAGTGTGTGACAACTTGTTATTTGAGACAACAAAATTATTGAAAATTAATGTCTCAAATAATAATATGTCACGTAGGATGATTACTGAAATCGTTGACTATGAATAGCATTACGTGTTAATAAATGAGAATTACATTATTTCTGAAGTGTCAAAAATTTAGTGGAGACATTTATACGGGGGCAAGAAATTTCATTATCTCAACTCACCTCTTCTCTCTCGAGACTGCTATTGTCCCGTGAGCAAAGATCCATCAAATCGATCTCATAGATTAGCAAGGAATTAAAGGAGAGGTTATTAGAATGAGCCACCAGCAACCGGAAGCCCTCGAGCTTCTGGCACGACTTGTCGAAGATGCCAATCACGGCCGTGTCATTCTTGCTCCGGTCCTCATGAACATTGTCATTCCGATCACCGGTAACCCTTCTTCATTAACCTCAGCAATCGTACCCGCCAAGCTCACATTACAGTACACCCTAGCCTTACACCTCCAACAAATCATAAACTTCCATTCTCTTTTTTCTGAACATTCTCCCTTCAATGTGACTCATCACCATTGCCTCCTCAAAGCAATCCCATCCTTAATCTTGTCAAACTTTTCGATGTTTAAGGTTTTGCCGTACATGGCTTCCACTTAATTCGTCGACCAAGGTCCCATTTTTGTCCTCAATTCAGCCCCAATGGTATCGTAGCGGATAATATGACGCAAAAGTAAGGCCTTTCATAAGGGTGGCATTTTCGGGTAGGATTTGAGGCCATGCAGAGTGCATATGAATTCCATGATTCATCATTCGTGTCGTCTCCTTTTAAGGCACAACACCCTGCCTTTTGAGGCTTGTGATGGACTGATGGGAATCTTCATGTGTATATGGAGCTCATGAACCATATGTGTCCGTGTTGAGCAGTGCTAGAGTAACATGGGTCTTTTAGTGGAAGAGAAGACACCAAGCTACACAGTTTCGAGTCCATGATTTTGAGCTCGAGTGCAATCTTGAAAAATCGTGGTTCTCAAGTTTATAGCCGGCCCTTCGCCATTGGTGCATGAAGTTCCATGAAAGAGATTGTGGTATGGTGAGGAGGGATTGGATTTGGCAGATAACTAGGAGTATGGCACAAATGGCGTTGAATTAGATTGAGAGTTTCAGTGAATAACAAAGTCGAAATCTTACGTGCATTTTTCTGATTCTGAAACTTAAATGTATATGTATTCCATTATGTACAATAATTATGTAAATATAGATTTATCCTAAAAACTTTAGCTACAAATTTTATGGTGGGTGAACGAGTTATTCAGGTTTCATATTCACGTGAACACAAGATGGAACAAAATAAATATTACAATTTGACATGATATTATATAATTATTAGATTATCGAAAATAAAATAAAAATAAAACTAAGGCTTCACAAATCATCAAAGAAACACAGATTTACTTACAAGACATACCACCATATCAGCTTTTAACATTCGTTAGGTCATATTAATATTTGAACAATGCACGACCATCAACTTAGGTAGTCATTATCTCATGACCTTATAATCAACAATATAAGGGTCAGCATTCTATGTACATAAAAGTCGGTTAATTGCACCTTCTAGTCTAGACGACGAATCGTCTTTCTTCTGTCACTGTCTTGGTAAGGCTCAGCTAATATAAGTTATCTTCCACCTCGGCTACATTCAAAATTGCGAGATGCCTCAGCAGGTTTACTTTGGAGTCAAAATGCTGTACAGAGGTTTCCAGTCTTCAAATTAGACGAACACTCCTGTTCAATTGGCCGAGCCGGGCTACATAACCTGCTTCTCTTAGGTTCAGATATCCTAACACGTGAAATTGCAACAGCAAGAATATCAACCAGACCACTATCCTCTCCTTCAGTCGAACCACCAGACACTAGAGTTGGACTAGAGTCTTCACTGAGAGTGTTTCGGGATATTAACTTGTTTCTCTCGGACTCTGCCACAGGTAGAGAAGTTGTCTGTTTTAAAGTGTTCAGCACCTTTGGTTTGACAGTTAAGGTTTTCAATGTGGTTTCAGTGTAGAATGAAATCCATGGATGCCCTGAAAAAACACATTTAACAATAAGTTCCAAAGAACAAAAGCTTGATGATCAGTAGTCATATAGAACTCACTGAGGAACGTCAAATATCTAAAACTGTCATGACCAAAACAGAGATTAAGATTCCATTCCAAAAATGCCCAATGTGTTAACAGGAGTATGAGATTAATTAGTGCATGCAGTTGTAATGTTCCATGTGGAAACGGATGACCCACGAGATAATTTCAAATTCCCAAATGAAACATAAATTACAATGCCATTGCCAGATGAGAATTCCATAAATAATTTTCTTTATTTACTTATCGTAAATTTGTTCGTAAGATTTTAGGCACATTCCTTTCAATGTTATGCCCAATGCTCAATATTAAACCTAGGCATACTGTATAACAAGCAAATATATCCAACATTTTGTCCATTCACAAAACATAAGGCGCACACAACCTAATACTCTAAGTCGGCACCCTTTAATGTTTTTGTTTCAATTTTACAGTTTTATACTATTATTGTCTCGAATAATATACTATGGACACTTTAAGAAATAAACCCAACTAAACACCGGTGTCAACATAATACTCAACACATCAACTTACCAAGCAAACTAGTGTCAATTATGATCATTACCATAGCCAAAAGACCTAAATGAAGGAGGGTAAACTAGAGATTACTCACTTAGAACTTCATTTGCAGTAAGCCTTGCTGAAACACTCCTGGTCAGCATGCTAGAGAGTAGATCACGAGCAGGCTGTGATACTGAGTCCCACACATCACCACTAAAATCAAGTTTTTCTTTCTTGATAGCCTCAAACACAGCTTCCAGAGAATCGCCTTGAAATGGGAGCATACCAACTAGAAGTGCGTGTAGCAGGACACCAGCACTCCAGATATCCACTTTCTCAGAGTAATTACCCAACAGCACTTCCGGAGCTACATATGCAGGACTTCCTACTACACCTGTCAAGCTCTGTCCTGTAATCAAGAAGATAACAAATGTGATACACATCAAAAATTTATTCAACTCAGTGCCTCAGAATTGTAATTCGTTCAACACATAAAATAAATACTCCTGGCCAGGAAGAAAAAGAAGCATGTCCTTGGATAGGAAAATACTCTTGATATAGATGAGATAGCAAGTGATGATGATGGAGATCAAGAAGAGATAAATATAAGAATAAAGAGATAATAGCATCTTCAAGAGACTCTAAATATAAAATGCTATTTATTTTAAAGAGTTAATGCTTAGAAATAAGCTCCAAGAAACTCTCTATTTTAACTTTTTAAAATAAAGAGCGAGTTTGGCTCTCTAAATTCTTAATGTACAATGATTACATTTAATAAATCACAGATTTCAATACTCTCTAAACTATTTAAACCACATTTAAATTGATTGACCATTGGCATATAAAAAATTTGTGTTAAATTAAAATATGAGGAGAAATCAATAAATATTTCTTGAGAAAAGCAAAATAAAGAGCCAAAATAGAGAGCATTATTGAAATGCATAAAAATTTTGACTCCCTAAATTTAAAAATGCTCTCTATAACGCATAAGATGATCTTTATAAATAAAGAGACTCTAGGAGATGTTTTAAGAACTTATATTAGATTTTGATTTAAGTTATGTTATTTAGATTATATTAGATAACGTTTAATATTTTGATAAAGTTTTAGAATAGAAAAAGTTGTTTCCTTTTAACTTCTTTTTAGTTCATCTGCTCTATAAATATAAGGACTTATTTAATGTAATAGTTAACCTGATTATATGAATAAAAATTGATTTCTCTTTGCCCTCAATTCTTCTCTTCTTTGGCCCTATTTCTTTTATTGTTCGTTATCAAATTAAATGCTCCCGCGTCACTTAGTTCGTAGATGACAAATTTCTTAAGGCTCAAGTCTGTTGCAGGTATACTTGAAGTAGCAAGTCAGTCCAGGTTAAAATTTAAAACATGCCATTTTAGTTTATTCAGGTCCTCCCTTGCTTCTGTCCATATGTCAAAAATGACAAAATCCTCCCCCCTCCCAACAACCCCACACCCACCCAGTAGTCACAAACGCTTCTTTCTTTTTCTTTTTTCCTTTCTTTTTTCCAGTTTTAAAAGGTTTTAGTAAAGTAGGAAGCTAACGAAACAAAGCAATTTCTACATCCACCAAAATTTTAACAGACTAACACTTTTTTGTACTATGTAGGTCCCTTTAGTGTTCCTAACTGAATAAAACTAATTGTGGACTTCTTTTTAACATTGGCTGATAAATAGCTGAATGGTAGAGAAGCTCAAACAGTAGCCATCTTAACAACAAATCAAGACAAAATGCAATAATTTAACATCATACATTAGAGTAATGTAGTGCAGCAAGGCACCTCAAGGGTTCTCCCATCTCCCTCAAAACCCAACCTGCTAACCATTATGCAAAATGAACCTGGGATAACTAGCATCAGTGACATTTATTATCAACCTCATATAGTTGGCCGTCGAGAAAATTATTGAGTTAACATTATAAACATTAGCCACCAGGTGGGCCAGACTTCACAGACTGATAGTAACTTACTCATGCTTCATATCAAGTTGACTGTTTGGTTGAAGCCTTTTGTTGGTCAAGTCACTAAGTCAGCTAGCAATTTTTCAGTCAGTAAAAGAAATTCAATGGCTAGTGTCACTATAACAAGTAAAACAAGAAATAGGGAAGTAACTTACAGAAAATTTAATCTATAAATTTTAGCTCTGTATGCAATCAGAGAAATAGAGACTTTATTGATATGAAGAGGATAAACATCCATTTATTTGCCACAAAAATACGTGGTGGATTCGGTCTATATATTATGTATAAAGGAGTACAAAAATGGAATACTGGAAAAAAAATGAAGAAAGCTTTAGTGAAAAGTGAATAATTAAATATACTCACCATCTAAAATTCTCACAGCCAATCCAAAGTCAGCAAGCTTCATCTGTCCAGAAGTTGTAAGGAGGATATTCTCAGGCTTTACATCCCGGTGAACAACACCCATCTCATGGCAGTATCGGATGGCTAGCATTAGTTCCTTAATTATGTTAGCAGCCTGACGTTCAGTATACGGGCCTTCTCTAGCCATCTGATCAAGCAACCGTCCCCTAGAACAAAGCTCCATCACAAGATGGAAAGACTCAGCATCCTCGTACACTGCCTTCAGTGTCACAACACCTGGATGCCCTGAGAGGTGTTGCATTATCTCCACTTCCCGGTGTACAATCTCCTCCCCTTTCCGCAAAGTCTTGCACGCAAAATCCTCTCCACTTGCTTTACACCGACAATACACTACTGACCCAAACTTTCCTCGCCCTATAGTTTCACCCAACTCATACTCTTGTTCAATCTTTTTCTTCCTACCCAATCTGGTCGCCACATCAATACATCCAATTTTCCTTTTAAGACCTCTAGCCGGAGAGTTCAAACATGCAGTCCCACACGGTGGGGCAGTGACAACTCCAGTTACTAGGCTTCTATAGGACTCAGCATTTTTTACAGATACTACTTCCCTGCATTTCTTTTTCCTCCTTGAATAATCTTCCAAGGATAAATGTGACCATAATATTGCCAATGAATTTTGTTCCTCAACTTCTTTTTGACATACTTCTGAGATCTCCAC